CGCGGACGGAGTCGCGGGCGAAGCTAGCGTATAATAAAGTTAAATAATAATGATTTAATTTATTTTGTAACACGCTTACTTATTTAGGCTCTGTCAAATATATAAATTAATTTATGTTAAGTTATTCAAATAAGTAGGTGTAGACGTAAAATATTCTTATTAATAAATAAGTAAGTTATATCAAAGTATGCCCGTGGGCTAAAATTTCAACTGGTTTCTTGTATATGTTATGTAATATACTTGTTTATGTTTGTGAATTAAATTCATTCGTCTAAAAAAGTAATACAGCAATGTTTGTCCGTTTAAAATTGTTTACCAGCACGATATAAGAATCTATACTAATATAATAAAGCGTAAACACACACTTCTTTGTTACCTAAGATGTCAGCAATCACAGCATATTTTCGAATAACTCTTTTTTTAATAAAAAGCCCTGCACTTACGTCACGCTTTAGGCTTTACATATTTTCACGCCGTCAAACTTACGGGTTATTTTGAATAAAAACCCTAATGTGGGAAAGAGACCATAAGTTGTTGCCAACATCAAGGAAGCAAGGTTGCCATGGTTTGACATCATGTCATGTCATTTTGACATTAGCAATTGATAGTTTGTCAAATGTGAACAATATAATGAAATTTTTATAATTTTATGCGGATGAAGTCGCATGGGAACAGCTATATATAAAAAACATGTTTTGCTAAAATATAATACCTAAATTATGTAAGCAAAAAGTTTATGTCTAATCGTACTTCATACTAATGTTATAAATGGGAAAGTTTAAATGGTTATCACGTTTCTCTAAAATGAATGAAATTTGGTATAGATGTAGAACATAGTCGTCAAGAACATATAGGTTACTTAGTCATTTTTTTTTGACCGACTTCCCAAAAGAAGGGGGTATATTCGTCTGTATGTTTTTTTTATGTGTGTTACGGCATAACTCCGCCGCTAGTGGACCGATTTTGATAATTCTTTTTTTATCCGAAAGGTAATGCTTGCAGGTGGGTCCCATTTTTTTGTTTGATTTTTGGAGTCAAAGACTACGACGTAGTTAAATAGTTTAGCTCAAAATCGCGCGACGAAATTTCGGGTAATTTTTAGTGATAATGTTATGTAAGGAAAACATTTTTTAACAGGATAAAAATGTATTTATTGATTTTTTATCGGAATGTATGCATGTGGATTATAGCGAAAACATTTCGTTTTTTTTGGATTGGAACCAAAACTTGCATAAAATAACAATTTGTCATGTCCAATGTTCGTTGACCTCTACTGAATATTATATGTGTTTTTCTTTTTGTTCCAGAATCTTCGTCAACAGATCATTGCACTTGGAAAATGTTAAATTTTATGGTTTTGATATGGATTATACATTGGCCGGTGAGTTTTACATACATTTTGTTAGGAGTATTTCTTGTACGTACTTTAACATCTACAAGTTGTTTAAAAATTATGTTAACCTATACTAATATAATCAAGTTTAAACACACAGTACTTCGTGGTGTAGGATGTCAGCAATCACAGCATATATTTGAATAATTCTTTCTGTAATAAAAAGCCTTACAAATACGACACGCTTTAGGCTATATATTTTCACGCTATTAAAGTTAGGGCTAAATAAAATGGAAAAAAAACCATTCATGTGGGAAAGGGACCTTAAACAATAAGCTACTAACATTGAGGAACCAAGGTTATTACCGGTAATTTTGACATTTGTAATTGCGAATTTAACAATCAAATATTTTTTTATAATTTCGTGCGGATGAAGCCGTACGGGAACAGTTAGTTTCAGTATAGTATTTTGAAACAACATAACAGACTAGGTTTTTGTGATCCATTAATATAATAATTTATTGTTTTCAGAATACAAATCGCCACAATATGAAACATTAGGGTTTAATTTAACTAAAGAAAGATTAGTTAACTTGGGATACCCAAGTGAGATTCTAGAATTTGAATATGATCCTTCTTTTCCTGTTAGGTGAGTTAATTGGAACTTTCTTTTATTTTTTCGTCTTAATAATTATCAATTACAATTACATAGGCGTCGCCAGCCGATGATCTAGGTGACCACTTAGGATGGCCTTATTCAAAGTAGTTTTTTATTTTTTTATTCTCGGGGGGGGGGGGCAGCTATCCTCGTCAGGTGACTCCCACGGAACTTAAAGTCATATTGTCATACTTCTTATTAATGTTATAAATGCGAAAGTTTAGATGAATAGATGTTAGAGTTTGTAGTCTAAACGGCTGAACAGATTTCGATGAAATTTAGTATAGTTGTAGAGTATAGTCTGGAAGGGCACAAGCTACTCAGTTTTATTTTTTCCATTCCACGCGGACGGAGTTCCGGGCGAAAGCTAGTATGATAATTCTAGGTTACACAATAAAATAAATAGTACTTACATGTCGGAGAATTTTTTTTTCTTTTAAAATGTAAATGTACTTAAAATGATTATGGCTTATCAAAATACAAGTAACGTTTTAGATTAAATTAATTGTATTTTCAGAATTAATACTGTATCAAGGAACAATTAAAAACAAATGTGCTGTATAGTTAATGTTTACCTTCAATTATGTATTCATATTGCATTACACAGCTATCCTTTTTCACTTCAATTACAATCTTCCATAAATATTACACATTTAGAGTATTAAAATAAGACTAATGTTCTAACATTACTTGCAGAGGTCTATGGTTCGACACGTTGTATGGCAACCTACTAAAAGTAGACGCTTATGGCAACATTCTGGTCTGTGTGCATGGATTTGAATTCTTGAAACAGTAAGTTAAAATTTAATTCTTATTTTTAAGCTCCACAGAGTCTAGTGCGTAATTCCACTAAACAATTTTTTTGCACGCGGCGAAGAACTCCATACAAAAGGTCGCGGTTAGTCTAGAGTCACAAGTGAAAAATAGATCTTACAGACTAAGTAATAAAGTTCAATTTGCAGGTGGAATTTCAATGTGTTCTAATTTTTTTGGACTCTTTTCAAATCAGTCTAAGAAATCAGAATCACATTATCGTAAAGGGTTAAAATTTTTATTTTTTTTTTTTTCAGTTCCCAAGTGTACGAATTATATCCAAATAAATTCTTGACTCTCGACGAGTCTAGAGTGTATGTGTTGAATACATTGTTCAATTTGCCGGAGACGTATTTAATTGCGTGCTTGATAGATTTCTTCACAAACTCTCCACAGTATACAAGGTAATATCAAATTCAAAATTCTCTTTATAACGCAATATTAATCGAAACCAATGTGTTTATACGAACTTTTTTGTTATATTCAGAGAAAAAAGCGGCGTAAGATGTGGGGATTTGGCGATGTCATTCAAATCTATATTCCAAGATGTCCGAAGCGCGGTTGACTATGTCCACATACATGGGGACCTCAAGTCCAAGACTATAGAGAATCTGGACCTCTACCTGAAGAAGGATAAACGTCTCCCAACCTTCCTGTCCAGGATAACAGAGAGCGGAGCCAAACTGTTCATACTAACTAACAGCGACTATAACTTCACAGACAGGATAATGAATTACTTGTTCGATTTCCCGCATGGCGCTCAAGTGAGTTTGCATTTATTACACCTAAACAGTTATCTTGATGTCCTTACACTTTTTTATACTTAAACGATCACAAATAGACCACTAATTTGTTAAAGAAGTAAAATAGAACCGTATATCAAAGAATGTTTTCACATTTTTTTGGTGGAAAGAAACCAAAAAAGTTTCTAATACAATTTAAAGCCTGTCCCACCAAGTTGTAAATTGTTTGTTCGCAATCCAACGTGTAAAATATGATGGGAATACAGGATTTTGTTACCCTATCTGACAGTGACGTACTTTTTAAACTATCTGAGCCTCTATCAGCTAGTGGTGGGACAGGTCCTTAGAGTAGTAATATTTTTACTGCTTGATTAGCACCCTTTCCGTGTGTTTGTAATTTTGCAAGTAGGTATTTTAGTCATTTTAAGTCCTTTATATTTCTGTAACGTAATTTAATGGAAAGAGTAAAATTTGACGCCGCGCCGGTGCGATGGCGTGCGTCAACGGGACATCGTTATTGTCCGAGATGGGGCAATAAACACGTGCAGGAAATTGTGTAAAAAATGTTTATAAACGTAATAATAACACAAGCTTTCGCCCGCGATTCCGTATGCATGAAATTAAAAAAAAAACAAAAGCAGGTACCCTATGTGTTCTTCCAGACTGTACTCTACATCTATACCAATTTTTTTAGAAATCCATTCAGCCGTTTAGGCTACAAACTCAAACAAACATCCACCCCATTCGTTTATCACAACTTTCGCATTTATATTATTAGTATGAAAGTAAGATGTAAATGAATAAACTTTGTGAATTTAAATTTTCATCCACGAAAGCTTAAAAATAATAAAAATTGATTTATCGTGTTTACAAGTTTCAATAATCTTTGTAATTATCATCATCATATCATGCATCAAGGATATTCAAGTATTGCATAATTTTGACGTTAACAAGTTTTGTAAGGAACATGGCGATTTTTTTTTGTATGCGTCACCGGTAAATCGCGTAAGTCGCATGTTTGTGATTTGCACCGAAAATTGATAAATATTCAGATTCAAATCGTGGTAATTTCGACGCTCAGTAAATTGACATTTCGTTGGATACAAAATGCCGTAATATAACAACTTTGTGAACATTATTTTTAAAATTTGTCGTGAGTTGATGATATGCCGGGAATTTATGATTTACCCGGAGTACACAATTTGCCGGTAACATGCGTTGAAACAGAAAGTGGGCCTTGGAATGTTTTGATATCGGTCTTGCATTAACCAACCGGTTTGACCACAACTGCTTGCTAATTCATTATTTATTCGTATCACCTGAATTCTAATACTATGTGATAGTTTTATTATCTTATAATCAAGTCTTATTAGATTACGTTATAACTTCGATTTCATATATAACTCAATAGATATAGATAATAATTAATTAATGATAATGGTGATATGTAATTAAGTACTGGATGTCTAAGTACTAATGTTTATTTTACCCTTGTGTGAGATGTCTGTATGGGCAATATTTGATCACATTTTTTAACATATTCCAATTGGTGCAGGCGACTGACCCTCACAGGAACTGGAAGACTTACTTCGACTGGATTGTGGTGGACGCGAAGAAGCCCTTGTTCTTCGGCGAGGGCACCACGCTGCGACAAGTGGACACGCAGACCGGCGCTCTCAAGATGGGCTACCACGTCGGTCCGCTGCACGAGGGCCTCGTCTACTCCGGAGGTAATCACATCACAATAATTAAAACCGCTGCCGATACACTTCACCTAAGAGTAATATAAGAAATGCCAACTTTTGTGTTTTTTGTATGAAATAAAAAGGTCGTTGTAACTTGGTAATATCGAGCAGAGTTTCAAATATAAAGAGGAGGTATAGATAGCACTTTATTTGAAATATTTTTCTCATAATCAAGACCAAGGACATGTCAATATAAGTAATTGTATTCATTAATTACCAATAGATGTTATTAATTCATTCTTCATACTAATATTATAAATACGAAAGTTTAAATGGACGGATGTTTGTTAGACTTTGTAGCCTAAACGACTGAACAGATTTCAATAAAATTTAATATAAAAGTGAAGGATAGTCTCGAAGAACATATAAGCAACAATTTGTTTTAAACCCACGCGGTTGGAGTCACAGGCGAAAGCTAGTAATATATAATGACAACTACCTAGTACCGTTCTAAGAAAGTACCAGTGACAAAATTTATACTATGCCTCGTCTATAAATTATTTAAATTCTTTGCTAAGTCATATCATTTACAGTGTACATGTAAACGTGACTTTACGTTAAAAATATATAGACATGATCACTCAACATAAGTATTTAAGGTTTTGATTGTGATTCATTTGCATTGATTTTATTAATCAAGTGTTATTTCATTGAGAAGTTAAATTGTCATAGGTTCGTGTGATGTGTTCACTGAGCTGATCGGCGCTAAGGGTAAGGACGTGCTCTACATCGGTGATCATATCTTCGGTGATATCCTCAAGTCTAAGAAGATCGGTGGCTGGCGCACCTTCCTGATAGTCCCGGAGCTGGTGCAGGAATTGCATGTATGGACGGACAAGTGCCAGCTGTTTGCGCAGCTGCAGAACTTGGACGTCCAGCTAGGGGATATGTACAAGTAAGTCGTAGTGAAATGTTAATTCGAATAAACATACTTACATATATGTGATAATGTAATTCATAGTTACAAAATATTTTAGCCTTTTGTTGTAATTGAAACACTAGTGGTTTCTATGTGGGTGAAGCACATTAAATTATAAAAACGTTATTGTTTACAGTTGTAAAATTTTAATTGCAAAAGTCAATTCACATGCACAAAGGACAATGAAGGCTCGTGAAATGTCATAAGCTTTTGGCCAATGGGCAATGTTGCTTCCTTGCTTCTATTGGCTGGTAGTTTTTGTCCCTTTCGCACATGACATTTTTTATTTCACTCTTCTACTCACTAAGTTTCATAATGTGAAAATATATAGCCTAAAACATGTCGGAAGTGTAGGAGTTTTCATTAAAAAAAATAACAATTTAACCCTTAAATGCATATTGTTGCCAAAAGTCTAAAACAAAAGTAGAGTTTTTATTGAAACCAAGATTTTTTTTATTATTTTTCCCTTATTCTGTGGCTCAAACTTATATTGAAATATGTATTCCATAATTAAATAAAAATCATGCATTTAAGGGTTAAAAATATAGTAATTGCTGACATCCCACATAACTAAGAAGTGTGTTTACGCCTTATTATATTAGCATAGAAATGTTTTTGTATATTTTTAGGCCAGGGGTGGCGAACATTTATGCATCAAAGTGATTTTTTTTAAAGAAGTGTTTAATGCCTCTTAAACGTTCCCTATAATAAACTTAACTGCTCTGATTACGTATTTCATGATATATAATTCTCCTAATTCATATTTTTTTTCGTATTGTTTCTATGATTATCAACGTGCCCAAAATGTTATGTCGTGTGCCATTTATGGGACGCATTCCAGTGGTTCGCCACCCCTGGTGTAGGCAGTGGAAGCCCATGGTTGACACTGTAATGTGAACTCTAGAGACCTAGACTCGAGCACGAAGGAGAAGCCGGATATATCGAAGCTGCGCAGTTCGATCCGTGACGTCACGCACAAGATGGACCTCGCGTACGGCATGCTCGGCTCGCTGTTCCGCTCCGGCTCTCGGCAGACATTCTTCTCGTCACAGGTAAACTAATTCTAACTCAAATTAAATGCTATTTATATTGGATTACTAAAAAAATCTAATATTTTCTATCTTTGTGTCTTAAGGTTCCCTACGTTACTCTTTTAAATTTGTCAAGTGGTGTATGTATAAGCTATAAGACTTTTCACTTTTAACATTAATGTATCTTGCATATTTATAAAGGACTAGCTTTCGCCCGCGACACCTGCCGCATGGAATTA